GCCCCTCATCTTAAGCTGCTGTGGACAGACAGTCAAATGGGGGGGGTGGTACACCTGTTCATGCCTGACAGCACATCACTGTGCCGTGGCACACTGGTTGGGAAACACTGGTTCTAGGAGTCAGATAATTGTAGTGTTGTATCTAAAAATCTTTTCTTTGGACAAGGTTGGAGAGACCTTATCTGGGGCATAGTAGCAGAGTTCCAACAAAATCCACTAGCAAAAGTTTGTCAGACCTCTAAATGTCTGTTCTTTTGGAACAGCTCCCGTAAACCTTTGGCAATCTTGTTTACATTTACTTTTGAAAAGTTGACTTCTCCTTATTGTGGTGTAACATCAAATCTCATGACTTAGGGGGAAAGAGTGGATTCTATTCCTAGCTTTGCTACTGGCCTTGTGACTGAATCTGGACAAGTCATTTTACCTTCCTGTACCTCAGGGTTTGAATCTGTGAAATGGGATTAATAATATTGACCTCCTTTGTAAAGCATTTTTTAAAAATTACACATGAAAATAATTCTATAATAACCTATTACTATTATTAGCATTATTATGAATGTTAATAGAAATATTAGTATTCAATGGTAGGGGAACTTCAGGAAATACAAGTAAGGAGACTAAAATCATCATTAAAAGGTCTGGCTTTGAGCTGTGGTTCTAAAATGTAATTAAAAAATAAATAACAGCTGAAGAATCATTCTGAACAGCATCCATCAGAACAGTACAAGTAGCAACCATTCACACATCTTTAAGAAATGATGAAGCCATTAATGATTGGTAAGTTTAGGGGCATGGATTCCCTGAGGCCATGTTTCTATAATAAACCTAATTATCAGTTGCCTTAAACTATTCCTGTGCTCTAAAAACCAGAGAGTATTTTATGTCATAATATGCACTTCATGTGGGCTAATGCATCAAAAAGTTACCTGTGTAGCAAAGAGAAGAACAATTCCTTCTGCATGTTAAGGATGCTGCTAATAAATAACTGCATACCCATGAACATTAACAACTTTTTAGAAGTCTCCTACATAAGAATCTAGGTAGCATCCATTTAAGTTGTTGAATCGCTGAGTCCCCAATGTTAAATTCATTTATCCATTGCTTTGATCACTGCTAAATGTTTAAGCTTTGTTTTCAAATGTGACTATGGGACAGATTTTAAGGGTATGTAAGTTCTTGGGAATTAGGCACCTACACACCTGTAAAATATGGGCCTGAGGCATTTTTGCAGGTTTGTTTTTGAGGAGTCCACAATCATTATGTGCGTTTAAAAACAGATGGTTAAAGTATTTTCAGCTGAAATGGTGCAATAATTGTGGGGAAAGATTCCATTTTTGCAAACAATATTGAATTATGCATAATTACTTCATTACATGGCTTGAATAATTCTTTCAGTCGACTTAGTTATTGCATGAGAGATTGAAGTACAGAGGCTATTATAAATATTGCTGTATGTAACTTGTGTTAATTTTTCACTGATATTAGAAAAGTTCTGTAACATAATATTTAAAACTACATCACCAGGTGCTGTAAAGATATATGTAGCATAGTTCAGGGGACTAAAGCAATGATGACTCAGTCCTATATGTGTTTCCATGATCCTGGGGACTGGTCAGGTCTCTGGTATG